TTGGAGGTGGCTTCCCGCATAGCAGCCTCAGTAGCCTTGCCCACCCAGGACTGACTTTCACTTCTGACCCCACTGTTCCTGAGCTGAGGAGAAGGGCAGACCAGCCTCAAAGTCCAGCTCAGATCATCTGGCTGGTTGTGTGGCCCCAGACAGGTAGTGTTCCCGCGCTGGTTTTAGTGCCTTGCCCCTCTCCGCTGTAAAATGGAGATAACAGTACTACCTCCTGTGAGCATCCTTGAGGCCACCCAGGTGAGAGTAACCTGCCTGGGAGTGGGCTATGGTGTGAAAGTTCAGTTTGGTGGCTCATGTCTTCATTCAGGAGCCCGTGGTTGTGGGAGAGAGCCTGGATGTTGGGGGAGTCAACCACAACTGCCTGAATGAATGCCTCTGGGTCCCTCTTGCACAGAGCACCAGGTGCCGGGAGCGCCTGAGGCCTCAGGGGCTGAACTCCACCCCACCCCCACCTCCCCAACACCACACAGCTGGCTATACAAAGGAGACTTATTTTTAGAAGTTGACGTGCTTGTGAGCAGAAAAGGGTGGGCCTCTGGCAGGATATACCTAGGGGGATGGTGGGGGCTGCTTTTCCACCTCTAGTTTTCAAAGAGCTCCAGCCAGGTGCCAGGTGGTTCCTGACCTGTGGTAGAGGGACCCGTGTCTTGGGCAGGCTGGGAGAAAATTACAGCCCAGAGAGACAGGTGGTGACCAGGGTGGCCCAGCACATGACTGGCAGCCCCGGGTCATGACCCCCACCAAACCAGGTGGCCCCTCCTTGAAGGCTTGGTGGGGACTTTCACAAAGTCAGCCAGCAGGGCCAGCCTGCGAGGAGAGCATCCTGGTTCAAATGACCTCTGTCACATGGTTTCTGAAGGCATAGCCTCTGGACAGCACCTTTCAATTATTGAAACCATTTCCTGAATGACACTTCCCCCTTCTACTGTCCTCCTTACTCACCTAGACTGCTGACCCAGATCATGATCATCAGCTAGGCGGACTGCCACTGAGTCAGCTGGGGGAGGGGACAGGGGATGGTCACACTGGCAGCCTCAGTCCAGGGTCTGAAGGGGGCTGATTGCCCTTCTGACAGGCACTCTCCTGTCCTCGTGTGCACAGCACTTTACAGTATACAGAACACTTTCACCG